TCCAGAGGTCAGTTCTAATGTCATTGTCTCAAAGTCCTGCCGAAAACTGACATTCTAGTATGTCTTTGGAAAAATTGAGCAATGTTTAAATAATAACCCTGTGTGGGTATGGTACCAACAAAGAGCTGACGAGAATCTCATTAAGATTAACATCCATTTGTGAAAATGTGTATTTTAGAACATATTACAGAATCCCATGGGAATCTTCTTTTATCAGAGTCATCTGTGTGGGTAATCCTGACCTATAGAAATAGAAGTTCAAGTCCAAACGGAAATTACCAGAGCCTGTATTAGAAAATCCAAAACATCTTAATTATTAATGGAAATTAAAGGGTTGATTTCCAGAGCATCCTGTGGAGAAGTGCTTTTCTGTGATCTGGAAGTTCCCAAGGATCTTCTCTTGACCCTCCGAGGCAAAAGCAGTTGTCTTCCGAAGTCGGCTCTGATGCATTAGCTGGTCGACAGTAGCTGCTCCTTTGGCTACTGATTTCAGATATCATTTCACTATTTTTGCTTAAATAATGGCAAAACCAAACTAAATCCTCTACTGAGCATTGAGCCCAGCCTGCATCCATACATCACAGAGCTCCCGACAAACCCAAGGAGCCCTTGCCCTGCCTGCTTTGTACAGGACTGAACAAACCTCTGTGGCTGGTGGAGAGCCATTACGACAGAAGAATCTAGGACTGCATGAAAGTGCTTGTTGATGATTGTTTTTCTGTTAATGAAATTAATCATTTTATTCTGACTACTCCTTCCTTTAATGTGAAGATTCTGGATTTTTTGATTGTTTATTGGTACGTAGTGTCAGGATCTGTCTGTCATCCTCCTGTTTGGCCAGCAGATGGCCAGCTGTTGGCCATACCGTGTCCTCCCTGTTGGGTCTAATCAATCACTCCTACCTTTCATTCTGTCCTCCTTAGTCAGGGTATATCTGTTACAGATCCAACACGGAAGCAGGCAAAGGGAGCCATAGATACAAATAAACGGGGGTTCATTACGGGGTAACAAATCCAAAGTATAACAACATTAATGACAGGACTAGGGAAACGTACTCGAACGCGGACTGAAATACACTGAACTAACAACAGCAACTGGAAACAGCTGGTGAACACTAGCCAGTGTTCTCCAGTTTCCCTGTGCAATAGTCAGTGCTCTCCTTAGCCCTTTTCTGTTTTTTTAGTTCTGCTCCCCACTCAAGTTGTTCCTCGCTGTTCCTCCCTATCAGATGTTTTGACCCCTTGTGGTCTTTTATTTTCAGTTTTCGATGTAACAGTTTCAGTAACGCCTCTTTCAGTTTCTCCTGCAGCTGCTCCTGGGTTGTGCTTCCTCTCTATCATGACATGTGGTGCAGCTTGTTGTATGAAAGTGACCATCTGGGTTTTTAAACAGTTCTAAGAAGAGCTCAACAAGTTCTCCCTCACGTTAGGGTTCTACTGTGTTACGGCTCCACTTACATACAATATACAGACAAAAGTAATGGATACCTGACCAGTGCATCTACAGGAATATGGAGTTGGTTCCCCCTTTGGAGTTATGACAGTTGGGAAGGTTTTCCACAAACTTTTAGTACTGTATGTGTCTGTGGGAATTTTTGCCCATTCATCCAGAAGAGCATTTGTGAGGTCAGGCACTGATGTTGGATGTGAAGGCCTGACTCGCAATCTCTGCTGTAGTTTATCTCAAAGGCTTTCAATGGGGTTGAGGTCAGGGCTCTGTGCAGGCCAGTCGAGTCCTTCCACACCAAACTCATCCAACCATGTCTTTATGGATCTTGCTTTGTTCACTGAGGGACAGTCATGCTGGAACAGAAAATGTCCTTCCTTAAAATGTTCCCACAAAGTTGGAAGTGTATCACATGCAGTCATAAAGCATGAAGCATAAAGAGGTCCCTTCTAAGGGGCCTAACCTAACCCCTGAAAAACAACCCCATACCATTATCCCTCCTCCACCAAACTTTACAATTGGAACAATACAGTCAGGCGGGTAATGTTCTCGTGGCATCTGCCAAACCCAGACTCGCCCATCAGACTGCCAGACAGAGAAACATGGTTTGTCATGCCACAAAACATATTTCCACTCTTCCAGTGGCAGTGGCAGCATGCTTTACACCACTCCATTCAACGCTTGGCACTGTGGCTTGCATGCAGCTCCTCAACCATGGAAGCCTGTTCCATGAAGGTCCTGTTGCCCAGTTTTTGTGCTGGGGTTAATGCCAGAGGAAGTTTGGAACTCTGCAGTTACTGAGTCAACAGAGCGTTGACAACTTTTATGCAATATGCACCTCAGCACTCGGAGACCGTGGTCTGTTACTTCATGTGGTCTGCAACTTTGTGGCTGAGTTCCTGTTCTTAAATCCTTCCACTTTGCAATAATGCCACTCACAGTTGATCATTGAATATCTTGCAGGGAAGAAATTTCATAAACTGACTTATTGAAAGGATGGCATCCTATGACAGCACCACACTGTAATTCACTGAGCTCTTCAGAACGACCAATTCTTTCACAAATGTTTGTAAACCTGACTGCATGGCTAGGTGATTAATTTTATACACCTGTCGCCATGGGTCTGAATGAAATACCTGATGTCGTCCATCAACCACACACTGAAGGGCAGCCCCGTCAGCACACTAAAATCCTGCTTCTTATTCTTTCCTGTTTTACTCTCTCTAATCTATTCACTTGGTAGAATGTATGCATGAGTATTTCACTACTTGCATCCATCAAATTATATACCGATGGGGATCTGAGGACATGTTCACAAATAGCAAAGGATTTGTGGTGAATGTCTGCTCTCTGTGCTCTGATGGTGTCACTGATCTGAGCATTTTTAAACACACACACACACACACACACACACACACTCCATGCAGGTTTGTAATTATATCTTTGTGGGGACCTGATAAATGGTCTGCACAACATAAAAAGCACATTTTTTATTACATTGTGGAGAGCATGTGGTCCCTACAATGTAATATAAACCTAATCCACATGCACACACACACACAGAGCAGAGGGGTGGGGTATACAGGACAGGATGCCAGCCCATCACACACACACATAAATAATTTATGTATGTGTGTGTGTGTACCAATGGCACACTTCAGCAAAGGACTCTGAGAACACATTCAAAAATTAACTAATGCTGTTTCCCAAGGTGACCAGGTGCTTGAAACAACTCTGCAGTGTCCCAAAGGATCGATGATACTTTCATGAGATGCTGAATGTCTGGGTCTGGCTCTGTCAGGTCTGTTTACACCTTAGCAATTTCATCAAAGACAGAGGGAGACTCTTTTAGGTCCTGGGAAACCGCTTCCATGCTCACAGCAGCGTCACTGCTGGAACTGTGATATTCTCAGAGGCAAGAACGAAAGTTAAAGTGGGGATGATATTCCAAAAGCTGAGGAGCAGTTTCAAAAAGGGTGACATGCAATATAATTTCATAAGAAAGAGACGGGGAGGAATCTTCTGACCGTGGTGCCTCACATCTATAACACCCCATTGGCTGACTCACGGGCAGAGCTTTACCATAGACGATGTTTCATTGGCTGTCGACATTTGGCTGGGTATGAAGACCAATCTGTCATTGCTGTAACCACTGTGGCTATTCATGCTGCTGGTGCTGTGATACGTATTAAGTAGTTAATCCTCAACGTTAGAGGACAGAAGGAATTTGTCTTTGGGAAGAAATATAGCACTGATGCCATTATTTTAAGGTAGTATGAAATGTTCACTTTATACATTCAAGTGAGGAGGGGTGGGAAGATGAAGAGTCCTGTCAAAATTAAAATCTTTTCAGTGACCATATTTCCTTACCAAGCTGTCACTCTCTTTAAATGGAATGGGTCATATCTCTCCTCTATAATTCTTGATCAGATTAGAACGTCACACCAACCAAACCACATGTGTCTTTCAGGACAATGAAAGACTAACCATCCATGAGTCAATGTCATGGGTCAGATAACACTTGACCTGTGTGGACAGAATATCCAGTTTGGAAGGAATGAATGTCCCAGAGACCATCAGAACCATTGTTCCATTTCAACAAAGGCATAATGGTATGATTCAAAAGCTCCCAGTACAGTTTCACCCCACGTCTGTCAGATTCCTCAGCCTCTCACTTGCCACTTGCAAGTTAGTAATGGAAATTTTGGATGGCTGAAGGCACATACAGTTTACTGCAGTCCAGTAATTCCCACTCAGCTTCAGACAGTGGAATCACCCACTTAGAGAAGAGAGCAGCCTTCTTAGGTGCTCCCAGCAGATGGGATTAGGCATGTTGCCACGCCATGTCTTCTTCAGGCATTATCTTGCTTCACAGGATATTATTCTTTCTGTGACAGGACAGTATACATTTTCAGACTGGGGGCACTAGATAAATTTTATTCAAGGGAGAAGGGGTGGGGGGTAAGGCCAGAATATCACAGATCTTCACACCAACTATTGTTCAATTTTTCATTTTATTGCACTTTTTTTTCATTGATCCTGATTTTTTTTGTCCAGCACACGCATGTGTGGTGAAGGCCTGCACACAGAATTCCCGTCAAAGGCATACTGAGTCTGTTTTCATGGCAGGCAATACCATATTGATGCACCATTGGCTTGGGCACGCAGCATGCTGGCTCCCCTAGGGATGCCCATAATCAAAGATATGCCATGTGACTTAGTGCTGACGGCTGTATCATGTGACTCCCTGGAAGGGGCATGGATGCCCTGACAGATTCAGGGGGCCCAGCACTTGACAGGGGCTCTTAAATATATTAAAATTATACATAAAATTTATATTAAAATTTACATAAAAGATATGTGTGACATCATGCATATGTGTGAAAGGCTGAATATGTGACCCCCATATCCAGTGACCCCCATCACTGATCACTTCAGTATGAAGTATATAATATTACTCTCTCTAGTATAATAAAAAAAAAGGTCTTAATAGCTCTGTGAAACTGAAATCGCTACTGTTCATATATCACTATATTACTGAAGCACGACACAAAATCTTTCAAGAAACTTTATTGCTTTTCTACCAGAAAAAGAGAAGTACACTTCCATACACAGCAGGCTGCTATAACAACTGATATCAACTACTGTACTTGGTACCGTACCAGGGTGGTGACCAACTCCAGCATTCTCCGCGACTTCTCACTACCTAACTGTTTTAGGCTTTTGGTTCATTAGTATCTGTCCTGCATTTGGTACATTTATGGGTGGGCAGGCCATCAAAGGTATTTATTACTTTTACCACAGTGACAAGTTTACAACACAAGTATTTTTTACCACTCGCTACTTTTCTAGTGGTAATAAACTACTGGATGATGTATATTCAGGCAAGCAGTGGGGGTTTAGCAGCATTTTTCATTACCTAACCTGCATCTTGTACAGCAGTAGTCATCAACCCTGATCCTGGAGATCCACCAGCCTGCAGAGCTTAGGTGAAGCCATAATTTAACAAACCTGATACAGATAAGTCCTAGAGCCAGCTATGTTACAGCTAATGCTAGCCTCTGATACTGAGATGCACCTGAAAGGCCCGATTATCTGCACCTAAGTCTACAGACCTCTTCAAAATGCCTACCAAATTGGCTCTGCCTCACCATAATCCAACTTCAATTAGTATGCTTGTGCGAGAATGCATGAAAGCTGTACCTTCCGACTGAATAAAAACTTCAGCTTTCTTGGAAAGTACCAAAGTTTAATTGGTCTGTTCTCTGATGAAGTGTTATTTTAATTTGTACTTAAAATCCACAATACACCAGCTGGTAAACTATCAAGAAAGCCCTCCCAGCTGTGAAATGAATTGGCTGGAAACATCCACTCAGGGTCTGGCAAGTAGGTACTTGTGCCCATTCGTCTGCTCTGGTCCCATTGCCAGCGCAGGGGGCTTCTCCGGACGGGAGGGCACCTTGCACGCCTTGTACAAGATGACAAACAGGATAAGAATTAAGAGGCCAACCACGGAGTTGCAGGCAATGGCCACGATGGCTGCAGGGGAGAGGTCACTGCTACCCATGATGTCACAGGTCTGACTTTTATTTCTCCAATATGGCAGCTACAGAACGTTTCCTTCAACCAGGGAAAAAAAAAATGGAAGTCTGGTGTGATTATAAAATGCAGCAGGTCTTAGGCTCTTTTCCAGCACCTAACTACGGCGTCAGGATGAAATGGCAATGACAGAGATTGTTCTCCCCACATACGCATTTTCTATGTGCTTCAGACATATAAATGTTTTACTGTCTTTCTCATTATATGGATGGTGTGGTTTGAAGAGAAATTGTATCACCGCAAGAAGTCTTTCAACTGTCAGCTCAATGCTATATGAACTTATATTATAATCCAAAGATCTTGCGTGTTTGTAAAAATAACTGCAGCTATGAGGAGATGGCACACGCCCAGGGTAAGTCTGAAAGAAGAGAAGAGCCCGTTCTGATGTTTGCTTGCTCCAAGTTCCTGGAAATAGAAAATGAAGGGCATATAATTGGTATAAGTTAATTAAATGCACATCCAAAATATCTGTGCAAAATATACACTTTACAACATACATATATACCAACTTCATACATACATGCATACACACACACGTTTGTAATTATATCTTTGTGGGGACTCCTCATTCATTCATGTGGGGAAAACTCTAATTCCAACATCACGACCTTAATCCCTACCCTTATTAGTAAGAATATATCATATCTTTGATTCATCAAAGTAACCTCCTCTAGCAGTCATAACAGCAGAGAAAATTTGAGACATTCTACAAAGGACAATAAATACTGGTCTGTTTCATGGAATGAAACTGTTAACTGGTGCATTTAAAGTTAAAGGACAGGCTAGAATTTGACCATGCCATCACCACACAACCAGATGTCAGACATGAACTGTTACATACTCTTTCCATGATATAAAGGAAACATGGTTCATTTTGATTGATAGTTGTTGACGCAAATTTCCAACGCTTAACAAAAATATAAAATATGCATTTTAGAAAATAAATGGAAAAGTGATAAAAAAAAAATTCTTTGTACTGGTAGTGTGTGTGTATGTGTACACACACACACACACACACACATA